TGCACCATGAACGCATCGGCAGGGCATTGGAAAGCTGGAAACGCGTGGTAAGCCACTGTGTGTGCATGACCCCTATCTTATATATTTAGTTATTCCTCTAAGCTTCATCTCTTATGCGCCCACGTTTCACTAGGGAATAAGCATCGGTAGGGTTTCAGAAACCCGCAGTAACAACGTCAGTTCGATGAAGCCAAAGTTGGAGGCTGAGCACGGGGTTCGACTCCCCGCCGATGCATCCGGTTTGTAAGAATTTCTTTTTCTGGTTCTTTCGTTAGTACTGTCGTAGTTACTTAATACAAGACCGGCGGGCAGAAGCACCGACAGACTCCTAAACTCCCGCGGATCATTTCTCCGTCCCCAGTCAGAACACCAAAATCGCAAACCGCAAACCAAAAATACACACAACACAGTATGTACGATAGATAGATAGATAGATACTACTAATACGCAAGTCAATAATTACGCTGAAAAACACTGAAACAGTCGGAGAGAGATGTATGAGAGGGAGAAGGAGGAGGAAAAAGATATGTAGGTATGTATGGACGGATGAAGGGAATATGTATATGGTGAAAGAAAGAGAAGAAAAGGATGAGGAAGAAGAGTAAGGATGTGGATAAAGGTAAGGAACATCAAGCCCCGTCCCCCGTAACGGCGTCCTCATAGTCCGACAACGACGGCGAGTCGTCCTCCCCCTCGCCCGCCGCCCCCGCCGCCCCCGCCGCCCTCTCAGCTTCGGCTTCAGCAGCAGATTCCGCCTCCTGCCTCACGCGCTCGCGCTCCGCCCACTCGATGTACTGCGCAATCCGCACCGCCGCGTCCGCCTCGCGCTCGCCCTCCCCGCGCACCATCACCAGAAAGCTCTCCGGCACCAGCGCCCGTCGCTCGCGAGCCCCCGCGCCCGCGCCCGGCCCCGCCGCGTCCGCTTCCGCCCACAGCTCCCCCCATACCGCGCCCGCGTCCGTCCGGCCCCCGACGCGCGCATGCACCTCGAGCAACCCCCCGCCCACGACGGGCGGCTCCCTTCCCCGCACGACCGCCCACCCCGCCGTGCCCCCGCCCCCGCCATCTGCACCGACGCCCCCGCCGCCGCCGAGAACATACACCAGCTGCCCCTCGACGAGATCCATCTCCGCCCCGTCGTTGAGCGCCTTGAACGCGAACTGCGCGCGATACAACCCGGGCGGTGCAGGGTCCGCTATCTCCTCGTAATACAGCCCCTCTTCCCCCTCCACATACCCTTCTTCCCCTTCCTCCTCATCATACTCGAACTCCCCCTCGCCCTCCCCCTCGTCGTCCCCAAAATTGCGCGCAAAGTCCGCCGGGCCAACACCATCACCGTCACCCTGGCTACCGTCCTGGTTCCCAAACGCCGCGCCCGCCCACGTCATGCGCCCGCGACCCAACATAAACGTGCTCCCGCCCGCCCACGGACCATCTTCATCCGCGTCCTCGTCCTCCTCCCCAGGCGCGCCCTCCCCGTCGTCCCAGTCCGACGCATGCGACCCGCGCGCGCCTGGCCGCAGCTTGCGCGCGAGGCGCCGCGCGTCGCACGCCGCGGGGACGTCCGGTCCCAGGCCCTCGTAGCGCGCGTCGCCCGCCGCGAAGGCAAAGTCACGTATCACAATCGGGGGCCGTTGTGGGGTGTTGGCGGCCTCGACGTCTGCGGCGGACGTGCTCATGCTGAGGCGGTGGCGCGCGCCGGCGAGGACGCGGGAGGTGCGACGGCTGTGGCTCTGGGAGGCGCTGCCGCGGGAGGAGGCGGAGGCGGAGGAGGAGGAGCGCACGAGGGCGCCGGGGACGGCGGAGGCGCGGCGGGAGAGCGCGGGCGAGGGCGGAGCAGGGCGGGAGCTGCTGGGCATGTCGCCGCCGAAGGACGCGAAGGACGGCGTGGAGGGTGTGGTGGGGGTGCGCGACGCGGGCGGGGGAAAGGACACGCGCTTGGCGGAGGGGGTGGAGGGCGCGGAGGGCAGGAGTGCGGGGGCTGGTGCTGGTGTGGATGTAGATGTGGAGATGGAGGCTGGTGTGGATGTGGATGTAGAGACGGGTATTGCTGTCGCGTGTCCGGACGTCGCAGCCGTGGGCGTCGTCGCGGACGGTGGCGACACGGGTGACGCATCGAGCAACGGGCGCGGGGTGGCAGGGCCGGGCGACTCTGCCTCCCGCGGCGTGAGGCGGCCGTTGCTCTGCGGCCGCCGCCGCTGCTGCTGCTCGTCGGTGTCCGCTGGCCCAGGGTCTTCCTCAGACTGGGTGCGGCTGCGCGGGGCGCGGCGCTTGCCTGGCGGTGCGGGCTTCATGGCGAACTCGTGTGCGCCGGGGATGGGGGGCGGGAGGAAGCTGGAGGACGGGGACGGGAAGGAGGCTGCGCTCGGAGGGGTGTCGATGCTGAGTGACAGGTGAGGCGGGTGCGAGTGCTCTGTGGGAAAAATGGGGTAAGCTGCGTATTTTGGGACGGTTACGAGATTAATTAGAACGACGAATGTAGCAGAAAGCAATGCACTGCGAGACGACAGACAGATGCCCGTCCGAGATGATAACCAAGATGGCCAATCAGCTTATCTCCTGCATTCTCTCTGTCTCGGACACCATCGACGAGCAATGGAGCGTCCATGGATGAAGCGTCCAAAGATGAAAGGCCCCAAAGATACCCCCGGGCCACCAGAAGACAAGAGCACCAGCCACTGCTCGGTGTATCATCGAAGGACGACAGATTCTGAGATGATAGCCAATCACCCCGAGGGTCAATCAGCTCATCACCGCTTCTCTCGCCCACCATCGACGACCACCGAAGCATCCAAAGATACCCAGTACACCCCGGAGCCACAAAAAACACGGGCATTCGGGCTTCGCAAAGACGTCTGGGAAGATAGCAATCACCTCGATGGCAAATCGAGACTTCCCCCTCTCTGGCTCGCCCCTTCTCCCCCGCCCGCCATCGACGACCACCAAGTCCAAAGATATCCTCGCCACAAAAAGACATGGCACGAGCACACACCTTTCGGGTCAGAAACTACGGCATACGCCATCGTGCGCAACGCTGCAAAGATGCGCGAGATATATCCCCCCGTTTCTTTTCGTTTTCGTTTCCGGTACTGCCAAGTGCGAGCCAGTCGTACCGGGTTCTGAGAGGGGGTGGAGTAGATTCAAGAAAGCCAGAGAGTCTGAGAGAACGCGCAATGCAATCCAAGGTGCTTCAAGTACTCCCCCGGTACAAAGAGCTTTGTTAGTTGGTGGTGGTTGCAGACAAACGGAGAGTGGACAAAGGCCAGGCCAAAGCGCGGCCGAATACGTGTATGCGGATGAGGGGCAAGGCCGGGAATAAAAAACAATGCCAAAGGGAGCTGCGGCCACGTGTTGATGCGGCGATTCTCGGCCGATGCCGGGTCGTGTTTGTTCAACTTGTTGACTTTCTTTGTACCCGTATTTCTTTCTTGTGCGTACGGAGGTGAGGCAATCTATTACTCTATCTTTATATCTGAAACAACACGTTCCCGTTGACCTGGCAATTATCGCGTTGCTTTACTTGACAGCATCTCTGACTCGTTGTGAGTGGTTGGTTGACCGTGCTAATTACAGTCGGAGTCAGCTTAATTCAATTCTGCTCCAAAAGCAGTACATATAGTACTGTCCGTTACCACAGCGCTGCACACCTCTCAGTCCTTATATAGGATTTAATCTTAATTGGCCATTAATTCCTTCGCAATACAGCCTCGAACCACTGCGCCGCAGCCATCTCACAGCTACCGTAATAGATAGCGTGCGGGGCTTCATTCAACGTCGTCTTTTCTGGGGTTTTTCGCTCTGCAAGCTCAACGGCATAAATGAGAACCAAAACGATTCACAAGTTCCCTAATGCATCGGCGGGGAGTCGAACCCCGAGCTCAACCTCTCAACTATCGCTAGTCTGTTCAATAAGAGGGTTGTGGGTTCCAATACCCCACAGACGCTTACTTTTGATATACCGCGCATTTTTACAAGGCAAACTTCAGTTGAAGTTAGAAAGTCAAGATCTAGGGGGGGGGAAACAGCACCCGAACCGAACACTGTATGCACCGGCGGAAAGTCGAACCCCGATCTCAGCCATCCATTTTGAAGGGGTATTCCAGTTCAGCCCGAGACTGGAGGTTTCCGATACCCCACCGATGCGTCATTCTCTCTGAACGGCGCCGAGTTAGCCTGGACAAATTTCTGGGTGCCTGGCACACAAATGGAAAAATGACAACACTCACTGCTTTACAGGCCTACTGTGGGTTTCCAATGCCTCTCGCCCATCCTGCGCAGATTATGAGTGAGTTTCACGATAAAGCTGCTGGAGTCAAGGAAAAGACTGTTTCCCTGGGAAACCCTCGGAGAAAAGATGATGAACAAGGATGCATCGGCGGGGATTTGAACCCCAAGCTCAGACTCTTGTTCAGGACCATATTGTGATAAGAAGCCTGCGGGGTTATACGAGGGGAAATCTGGAGGAACTTCCGAGTCCAAGAAAAAGACGACGCTGAAATGTATCGGCGGGGAGTCGAACCCCGAGCGTAGCCACGCATTCTAAGCATTGCAACTTGTCAACAATAGGCTGGGGGTTCCAGTACCCCACGACACAGTATTCACTCTAAACAGCACCGGATTATTGTGGGCAAATTTCTGGGGTTTCCCACCCGTAAATGGAAAATGAACGCAAGAATCTTGTGGATTTTCCAAGACTTATTGCTTTAAAGAGCCGCTGTGCGTTTTCAAATCCCAATACTCCACCGAATGCATGGCAGCACAGCACTTATTCGCGGAATTGCGAGGGGAAAAATCAGCTCAACTTCACTATGCATCGGCAGGGAGTCGAGCCCCAAGCTCAGCCTTCATTGTTGCTCCGTCTGGGAACGTTATCATGAAGCTGCGGGTTTCAGACACCCCAGCGATGCTTATTCTTGATATACCGCGCATTTGTAGAAGGCAAACTTGAATTGAAGTTGGAAAGTCAGAAGAGGGAAGAAAAACAATACCCGAACATTGTATGCATCGGCGGGGACTCGAACCCCGAGCTCAGCGTCATTCCGGCATATTTCATATCGACAGGCTGTGGGTTTCCAATACCCCACCCATGCCTTCCTTCCTAGCACGGTGCGAGTTGATATGAAGAAAACTTTAAAGGATAGCTCTCTAATATATGTTCGAACTGAGAAGCAAAAAACATATTCGGGCCTGCTATGCATCAGCGGGGAATCGAACCCCGAGCGCAGCCTCGCATTGTCGGCAGCCATGCAACAATAGGATGTGGGTTTCCGATACCCCACCGATGCTCTATTCTCTGCAACGGGCTCTAGTGTTGCCGCCGGCTAAGCCGATCAATTTCAAAAAACTGCCCTGCAGCTCAAGATAAAATGTAAAATATTCTGAAAATATTCAAGCTAATGAATCGTCCTGAAAGCTGAGGACTCTCTCGTTGGTGCTAAGCAAGGCACCTGATTCTCGTGAAGATATTCGACCGGCTTCTAAACGGCTAAATTTTGAACCGTTTAGAAGCCGGTCAAATATCTGGCGACCAACCACACTGAGCACTTGGGGCTCGCAAAAGATCCCATGACTTTTTATCTCCTCTACCTACCCAAATATTCTCAGAATTTTTCCGCTTTTATTTGCTGCTATATTTCGATGTTTTGAAATTGACCGGCTTAGCCGGCGGCAACACTAGCAACAGCACCGAGTTATAGTAGCCAAAATTCTAGGGTGCCTGGTCCGAGAATGGAAAATGAACACAACGCCCCTGTGAATTTCCCAGCGCTTGCTGCGGTCTCCAATACCCTACCAACGCTTCTTGCTCATCCTGCCTGGATTAATATTGGGGCCAGTGGGGGAAAAAAGGATTTTTGCACCTAGGTTTATGCATCGGCGGGTCGAACCCCGATCTCAGCCTCTCGACCTTGTTGGTGACTGAAAACGATACGCTGTGGGCTTCTAATACCCCACCGATGCTTATTCTTAGTATACCACACAGTTCAAACTTCTGAGGAAATCTCCGACATGAAAAAGACGACTCATTGCATGCATCGGCATACATTTGAACCCTGGACTGAGGGCGGCCTTGAATTCTCAGCAGCTACGCAACAAGCTGTGGGTTCCACTACCCCACCAACACTGCGTGGATTATATAATATTATATGGGGAGTCGCATAATATACAAAGCTGTTAGGGCCAAGAAAAAAGCTACCTGTGTGGGAAACGGAGTCAAAGACAAAGAAAAAAAATGACAAAGAAGGATACATCGGCAGGGAGTTGAACCCCGATCTCAGCCTGCAACTTATTGCGCTGGTTGAGCATTTCAAATTTTTCAGTGGAAATATTGGGGAAAAAAATCTTTTATTTTTCACTAATATTTCCACTGAAATTTTTGAAATGCTCAACTAGTGTTGGGTGCTGCTGAACTGGTGGGTTTCCAACACCCCACCAACACTTATTTGTACTTAGCACAGTGCAGGGAAATTACAAGTTGACATCTATCTTCATCTTTCTTTGTGGTCTTTGTGTATGGTGCTGCGAAGGAAGGAAGAGGGTTGTAATTGCTGTGGTTTTCACTGTCCAGCTTCATAGCAGTTCATGTTCATATACCTTACTTTATGTTTGTTGTGTCAATGCCAATATAAAGTGAGATGAGGAACTCAATGCAAACTGAAGGTGTTTATGGGAGGAGAGTAAATATAGAGATGTTCCGCCAGAATCAAACAACAGGGACCTACTACCTACATAGTGGAGTAATAGAATAAGTTCCCAAATAAAAATTTCGAGCTCTCCAAACAAATCCAGACAATGTTTCCCAAATGAATCACAGACAAAAGTACAGTTCAATCAGGCACACATAGTTTCTTGAGAGCTGTTCCCTCCACTATTTCCTGATCCTTAGAGACTATGTTCTTTGGGATGGACACCTCATCCAATGATGTGTTGCACAAATCTCTCCTGGTGGTGTCCACCAAAGCTTGATCAACTGAGGCAAGTCAACTGTCAATTTGGGCTATATCTTTTACTTGTGAGGACCTTTCAAATAGTGGACGGGCTTCTTTCCAAAGATCCACTGCCTTCACCAAATTTCCACTCTGCATTGCAATATCACCAAGGCGAATCATGCAATCAGCTCTGCTGCGATGAATATGCATAGATGTGAATCCCTCCAGAGTTGCAACAAAAAGATTGTGTGCTGTGTATTTGTCTCCTTGCAAAGAAAAATCATCTCCTAGAAAACGGAGTGCCTTGTGAAGTGCTAGTTTCTCCTGTGTTTTTTGTGCTTGGGCCAAGTATATTGTGGACCACACATATGCTGAGTTTTTGGTAGCAATCCAGTGCCTAACGTCAGCTAGTCTCTCTAGACAATATGATACAGTGTCAGGATCATTCCCCCAAGCCGTATTCAAACATTGTTTCAGCAAGTGCTTTGCAGCTATCATATTGCCCTCCCTGAGATTCAGATCAGCTAAAACCATATCACATTGAGTTTGCCCTTGAAGCCCTCCCAAGGTGCTAAATATTGATCTTGAACTATCCAGATTTTTTTGCACCTCCAGGACATCTTCCCCAATTAGGACACCAATTTCAGCAATGTTGAATAGGGCAAGTGCATAAAAATGTGGATTTTGCTCAACAGATATTTCTTGAACAAGTTTACTGTGGATGCTGTGGGCTTCCAGATATTCAGATTTTAATAGATGGACTTCTGCCAGGTCAACCATCACATTATGTTCCACATGACCTCCCTGCATGCCACAAAGTTTCAGAAGCTCTCTGGCTCTTTGATACAAGGGAACAGCTTCTTCCAAATTACCTAGGGTTGCAAGACACACAGCCTTGGTTCTCAATGTTAGTGCTTCCTGATATAAATTTCCAGACATATGGGCAATTTGTTGTGCTTCATGGGCATCCATTTGTGCTGCAGAATAGTCCCCCACCCTATACTTGAGCCAAGCTATCTGATCAACTGCTATAGAATGCTGTCTCAAGTCTCCACATGACTTTGCCAATGATAGTGCCTTCTCAAAGGATTGCCTTGCAGCAAATCTGTCATTTTTTCCCCCCTGATAGTAAGATCCAATGGCTGTATAGAATCTGGCTATCATGATGGTCCAAAGTTAGACAATCACTTGATCAAAATAATCATGTAAACTCACATTCAAGGGCAGGTTCACTCAAGTGACAGAATTGAGCTTTGACTTTGTCAATCAGAACTTCTGGATTTTTGATTGGATGTTGATACATTCCTTCAAGCACCTCAATGTTATATCTTAGTGCTACATGGTGGTCAGAGAGCTGGAGTAAAACAGTTGGAACGTGATCCATCAATCCACTACAACCATGGCCAGTGAGTCGACAGAATGCATTGAGGTAAGTAGTGCAATATATAACATCAACAAGATCTGGATTTTCTGGATGCAATTCCAATAGCAGCAGTTGTTGCAGATTCCCAAGGTTCGCAGTTATTTGATTGATTCTTGCACTGTTTTCATAAACCCCGCGGTATTTCTCGTAGAAATACATAATGAGGTTAAAATACTTGCAGAGCGGGTGGAATAGTTGTGGTGATGGAGGGTAGAAGCATTGGATATGTTCTCGAATTGGTACCAATGATTTCAGCCTCTCATTTGCATCATAATATGCAAGTGATGTGCAGAGCAATTGAGCTCTGCACCTAAGAAGATCTTGGATAGGAAGGTCACATTGAACAAGTTCAATGTCTGAGAGACCATCTGGAAGGATTGATAAAAGGCTTAGCAGATCCTTAGCTCCAGGACAAGATGTCATACGGGGACTTGAAAGGGATATGGCAATGGATGCATCCAGATTGGACTTTTTGTCATGACTTTCAGAAAGCAGAGATGTCCTTTCTGTCTCCCAGCGAGCCAAAACATTGGAACAACCCTCATAGTCCACAAGATGGGCAATGAGATTTACTGCAAGCGGCATGTTATTTGTCAACAGAAGAAGCTGGTCAATGTCCTTGCTATCATGGCAATCATCTGCAATTTCGATGAATGTCTGTCGAGCAGCATCATCTGTCAAGGGCTTCAAAGGCTCCAAAAATGGCCGTGTCCAGCGGACCTTGGCTGGCCTCTCTGCACCTCGCATTGTGATCTATTGAACTATTAACAGCTGCAGGTGTCAAAAGAAACTCATACACTTACTATCAATGCCAGATGTGGGATGTCAGTAAGCAGAGACAGAAATTCTTCAACCCCACCACGGGACTCAAGTGGTTCCCATGGTGTTTCCAAATTATCCAGAACCACGAGGCAAGGTGGACCTCTGGAAAGATGTTGGACAACAGGCTTTGTCAAGTCCTTTCCTGGTTTCAATCCTAGATGAGATCCAGTCAGAGCTGCTAGCTCAACACTGGTGGTAGCAGAATCTGCAGCGATAAAGAGCCTCTGTTCATATTTGGCAGCAACATGTGGGTGATGCATGACAGCCTTTGCCAGACTTGTTTTCCCTATTCCTCCTGTTCCCAAAATGGGGATCCTGGCATGTTCACTGTTGAGCTTCTCCACAATATCTAGGAGTTCAAATTCACGGCCATTAAATATCTTGGGTCTTGCTGGCAGCATTGAGAATGAAGTTGAGCTTTCAAAAGATGTTGAGAATGGATACCTGAGTTGAAAAAATCATCCCTACCTGTTTTGTGAGCTAGTGATCCCCAGATACATCTGCTTTTCAATGGTTAATTGCTATCAATGTATGACAGTTGGGACTCTCACAGAGGATGACTTATCTGAGACTGTGTCCTCAGAGAGGTTTGAAATCAGTTCCAGTAGTTCTTGCTGCATGGTTTCTGTCTTCTTCTGGATACTGGCAATGTCGGTGAGGATTGGGACACTTCTTTCAATCTATAGTACATGTCAATGTCTCATCTATAGTGAGGAAACTAGGATGGCTTACCTTGAACACATCCAAAGCATGTTCTAGTTCTTTACGGCATTCTTTGAGCAGTGTGCTCATCTCACTTTGGCGGAAGAAGTGCTTGATCTTGTTTCCATCATGCTGTGCCTCAACAAATACATGTATCTTGCGGAGTGTTCTGCAATATTGTCCCAGTAAGAAAAGAAAAGAAAGAAATCAGTAAGGGAATTGTTAATACTCCGCAAACTTTCCAACATGATCTAATGTTCCTGGTGACAGGCTTCCTACTGGCTCAGATACTATGTGCAAATTCACAATAGCATAAATGATTGCATGGATGGACTCCATGAGCTGCATAACTTGATCCTTGTTCCTCTTCACATTCTTTAATATAAAGTCAGCTGTATAACATCTATGTGTGAGGAGTGTTGAGTACCTGTGCTGTCAAGATCAAAGACAGGGTGGTGCTTGAAATGGCCTGGACAAAAGGTGTACCAAAGCCATCATGGAGTTCATTCAGGATCGTAACAGCTGGAGTGAGACAGCTTATGATGGTGGTCAACCGAATCTTGGTCGCAGTGGGATCATGGGGCATCTTGAGAATGATGATGGCACAAGCTTAAGGATGTGAAGGTCTTATATATCAAAATGTCTTCCCAGATTAGATCTGCTCCCGTAAATTTGTTGTGATGACAGTTTACATACCTTGCTCCCGGTCTCCATGCAGAACATGATATAATCTGGTGCTAACTTGAACTGTTTCGATAACTCCTTATGGCCTCACCGGCGGCCAAGCAAAGCTGTTTTTAGCACCAGCATTTTGGAACTGAAAGGTCTGATATCCATCTTCTTTTGAACAGAGCCCCGACTGTGTCTAAGAAAGTCGCGCACAGAAGCTGCCCACATTGGTAACGTTGTGGTCGAAAGTGCTAGCTGAATGTCTAATCTGTGGCACAGAAACGAGGCAAGAAATGCACCCTTGTAAAGTGTAAGCATTGACTGACAGTCTGACACAGGGACATAGCACTTAATGACCTATCTATCAGATCAGTGTAGGCATGGTTCTAACTTTATAAGGAGCGGGATCGGCATGTGCGAGTGGTACTAAATTTGTGGATATGATCTTGCGGGTGATAATAGACTTCACTCTCCTTTTTCCTGATGGCATTCTAGTGTCCTGGGCAAGACTTACAGTCGATGCATTATACCTCACATTCTTTTCTCATTTTCTTGCTCTCGTTGCTTCCACAAAGTCTCGCTCATCTGAATCCACATCTGATAGCAGTTGTGCATTGGTCGGGTACTGGAAACCCACAGCCCGTCCATGACCGATTACTGGAGGTAAATTGAGAAGCTGGGATCGGGGTTCGATTCCCCGGTGGGAAGCGGCCTGAGATCATGGTAGTTGAAGGTTGAAACTGGAGTTGTTTTTACAAAAAATTGAGCAAAGAACCGATTACGCTCAGCCTCGGAGCGTCCCGTGTGTATGAATGTTTAAGCCCTGGATTTCTGGGTGTAAATTCAGTGCACTCCGGCTCGTGGATCCTGCCTTTTCCCCTGCTAAGTGGATCCTGTTATGCACATTCGCCACTTTGAGATTATTCAGCTTGCACCAGCATTGGTTTTGTTCCAAGTTTCCGGTTCTAATAATGATACAATATGTGCATCGACAAGCCGAATTCAAATTCGGAGGGTAATACATATACGCTCAATGCTATAGTATTCGACTGCTGCGAATCTGTGCCTCTAAGTCGCAGCCCTCATTGATAACAATACGTTACATGCACTGGGATCCCGGGAGGAACTTATTGCTTCAGCACAGGAAATCATCTGAACACGAGTGAATATCTGAATGTATCAGGGCAGTATTCCTCGCTCACGTCGCCGGTGCCATCAGCAGAAAATATAAATCGATTGCCATCCCATGCATCTCGCACTCCGCCTGGCTGCAAATACGTGTGCTCCGATTAAAATAAATTGGTCCAAATCGCGCTGGTGGCATTGATGACAGAAGAAGTGGTTGGAAGGAAGCTGGAAGCTTCCTGTGAAATGATTGTCACAGTAAAAACATACCAGCTCAACTCGAATGTGAAGCTAATGCAGTCAGTCTTGTTTCTGGATGTCGGAAGTGCCCGAGCATATCGGAATAAGTCCTTGGGACACGAAAAGAATTAGTGATAGCGGTAGACCCGAGAAAACGAGATTTGGTGATCCTCAGCGCCTTTTTGTTGCTCTTCTGACCAAATTATAAGACGATTATAGCAGCTGATTCCATACCGGGTTCAGCCGTCAAATATTCCGGATCTTAAGATCTTGGTGCCTGACCACGAGGGACACTTCTGGGGAAACTGTTTTAAAATACTGATGGCAACGATAGAGCTGTGGGTTTCCAATACCCCACTGACGCTCAAAGTGTGTGCCATTTGCACTCATGCAGGCGAAATCTATGGGGAAACTGCTCTGCCAAAGAAATAAAAAATCTTAGACTCGATCGAGGATGCATCGGGGGGAGTCGAACCCCGAGCTCATTGGCAGTCTCTCATTCTTGTTGTCGACAATAGACTAGGGTTCCCAATACCTCATCGATGTCGCTGTGGGTTTCCAATACCCCACTGACGCATTATTCCTGATATATACCACGCATTTGTTCGGTTGAGGTTGGAAAGTTGGATCAGCGAGCAAAATCAGCTCCATGGGTCGACGGGAAGGCTAATCTCGAGCTCATCCTTCATTCTCCGCATCCGCAATCTAAATATAGGCTGCGTTGAAACTGCACTTCAGCATGGAGCGCTCTTTAATTCTCCCTGTTCCAGAGTCTTCTTTAAAATAGCAGGATAGCCTTTCAGTATTGGATTTACAATCCGAACAAGTCATTCCCAGGGAACGCGGTATGTTCTTTGCTCAACGTGCAACCACTGGACGGAGAGCCTTGTATCAGTTACGTCAAAGTTACGTACACAAAACCAAACTCAGACCGATCTTTTTTCGTTCGCATCAATCGCGGCTGCGCATCACCGTCATGAGACCCGCTGCCCATGTGTTCAGCGCCCCGTCAAGTTAAAAAAGCTTTGCACTCGCTGTCAGGCGTCCTCAATCGCCACCATGAAGTTTCTCGGCGTTGCTCTCTTGCTCGCCGCAGCTGCATGCGCGTCGTCGAACCCTTGCACGACCCTCTCTTCTTCACTATCGCCCGCCGCGAATGTCTACTGGCCCAACTCGACCGAGTACACGCTGGCCATCGCGCACTGGCTGCTGTCGTCCATCGAGGACCCGCAGTGCGTGGTGGAGCCCAGCTCCGCGCAGGATATCGGTGCAATTGTGAGCCGAATGAATTGTTAGAATTCCAAACCAGGACTCATTGTATTCCAGCTGAAGACCGTCGGCGCGACACGGACCCCGTTTGCAGTCAAGGGCGGCGGGCATACGTCGAACATAGGGTTCTCCTCGACGACCGGAGTGCACATCTCGCTCGCGCAATTCAACTACACGAAGCTCGACACCGCAGCGCAGACTGTGGCAATAGGCGCCGGCACAAAATGGATTGATGTGTATACCACTCTCGACGGCACGGGATTCAACGTCGTCGGTGGGCGAAACCCTTCTGTTGGTGTTGCGGGACTCACTTTGGGCGGAGGTACGTGCGTTCGAGACGGGATTATGTGCTGAGAGGTAACGTTCGGCAGGATATTCGTGGAAGAGCAATGCCCATGGACTCGCGGTGAGCAATGCTATCTTATCCTGAAGCCTTGATCTGATGCACTCAGATCGACAACTTGCTGCACGTCAACATCGTCCTGCCCAACGGGACCGCCACAACAGCGAGCGCAACGTGCAACGCAGACCTCTTTTTCGCCCTCAAGGGTGGCTTCAACAACTTCGTGCGTCTCCTCTCCCCATCTTCTGCAGTCTTAATAATACCCAGGTGGTCCTCAGGGCGTCGTGACGGAGTTCACATTCCGCGCCCTCCCTCAATCCCTCGTCTTCGGTGGGCACCTCTCCTACGCCGCCGCGGATACAGCGGCTGTCAACGCAGCCGTCGTCGCCTTCGAGCGAAACAACACTGACACGCGCGCCGCCATTGTGCACGGCCTCACCGCCCTCCCCGGCCCTAACGGCACCTTCGCACCCCCGTTCGCCGCCGTTCAGCTCTTCTACGACGGCGTGGACTTCCCTGCGGGCATGTTCGCGGACTTCTTCGCGATCCCGGCCGCGTCGAGTAACTGGGGCGGCCCGATGACGTTTTTGCAGTGGAGCGGCGCGGACGGTGGGGTCTCGAATCTCCGGTGCGTCTATATGTGTCGAGGAGGGAAGATCAATGCTGACGATTGGCGAAGGGGCGTGTTCCACGCGTTCTCGACGCTCCCGCACACGCCGGAGTTCCTGCAGGACGTCGTGGACGAAATTTCCGTGCGTGTCTTGTTCCTTTCCCCTTCCTGGTTACGCATTCACTCATGGTTCGTGTGCGACAGGCCTTCAGCGCGGAGCTGGGCCCGAAGAGCGCCGCGTACATCAGCATCGCGATCGAGCCCTTCATGGCGACCGCGCTGAACGACTCCAGCTCCAGCTCCTCGGCGTACCCGCCCGTCCGCGCGCCCGTCCTGCTCCCGTCTAATATCTTCTTCGGGTGCGTTTTCGTTTCCGTCTCCGTTTCCGCTTCCGTTTCCAACCTTCAGCTGGACATCCATGTCCCGTAACACATCCATACTCACGATCCCCACCCAGGTACACGAACGCATCGGAAGACGCCGCCTTCCGCGCCGCCATCGCGCGCATCCAGGCGGCCGTCGTCGCCAAGGCGCAGGCGCGGCACCTCGTCTATCCCGAGGCGGAGGGCGGGAGCATCTACGCGAACTATGCGCTCGGCGGCGCGGGCGGGGCGCAGGTGGTCGAGTTCTACGGCGCGGAGCACCTGGCGGAGATGCGGCGCGTGCGCGCGGAGGTCGACCCGCGCGGGGTGATGCGGTTGGCCGGGGGGTGGAAGGTTTGAGCGGGGCGCGCGCTTCTTTCTAAGTTGAGTTGAAGTCGAGGTGCACCGATTGCCCTCGACTTGGGTTCGTTAATATATACGTTACAATGGGTTCCTTCTATATAAATCCGCGCTGTGTTGCAGAGGAATGAAGCATCGATGGGGTATTGGCAACCCACAGCTCGTCCATAATGCCAGGAGATTCGATAGGAAAGCTGGGATCGGGGTTCGACTCCCCGCCGATGCATGGTTTTGTGAGACCAAAGTTTTCTTTTCCTGCCAATTCTTCAAAAAAAAAAAAACCTGGTCATCGCGAATATGTATGACGAGTCCTACAAACATGCGAGGTACGAGCATCAACGTTTGTCGCGTCTGTTTATAAGAGGCTAGATGAGTCCGGAATCTGCTGGGAAGGAGCATCGATGGTGTGTTGGGAACCCAAAGCTCGTCCATGTATAGGCGTTTGGGCTGTAGGGAAGCTGGGATCGGGATTCGAATCCCCGTCGATGCATGAAAGTGAAGCGTAATAATCTTTTTATTCCCTCGCCGATTTTCCTCACATCATCTGGTATCGCTCCGGGCTGTACTAGGAGCATGGAAGTCCGCTCCCAGGATTTTCAAGGCTGTCAACTCGAGTTCTTTTCTTCATTACCGCCGTGTTACAGTTTCACTTGTACAGTTTGCTATACAGTACCGGACGCATTCCTGGACCTCTCGCAGTAAAATAAGCGAGAGATAAATTGTTCGAAATGATAGATGCATGGATGGGAGCGGCAACCTGAAAAAAAAAAAGGTTCGCAAAACTGGATTCGAGCAATGCACCGAAAAGGAGTTGCACCCCGGGCTCCACCTCCGAACGTGAACGCGTGAACTCTCGGAGGCAGCGTGGGACGGGCTGCGGGTTCCAATACTCCAGCGATGCTTGAATCATAGAGAGAATAGAACGTTGCATTACGCATTACAAGTACATTTAGCCTCTACATTTAAAATCTATTATCACATTAATATTGCCGGGTGTGGGTGCTTTTATGCGTTTAGTGGTTTTTATATCCTCCGGGTCTATACCTATCCATCGACCAGTCAGTATGTGACAAGAGATTTGCGGGAAAGATAAAATGGAGGAAATAGGATGCTACATACCATTGCCATCCGACAGCCACGAACGGCAGCGCGAACCCGAATCCCATGTACGCCAGACATTTCATGGCAAATTTTCTGCGGCTGGAGTAGTCGAAGGGCATGTTCTACAAAGAGGAGGCAATTAATTGTGGTGCGGGTCGATTTTCACTTGGACTTGTAACGTACATTGTATTCGGCGGCATGCGCGTGCGCCATTCGTCGCCCACAAAATCGGGCGGCGGTATCCGCGGCGTGGACAGAGATAGGTGGCCTTCGGAGGAGGGTAGGGATTGCGGAGCGTGCAAGAAGAGACGTCATGATCAGTTTGGTTGGTGTACTGTATTCTCCGTGAGACATCAGCCTATATATACTGGTTGCGGCGGACGGGACCGAGATTGAGTCCAGAACAAATATCTGTCAGAGAGGCTGGATTGTTTGGCCATAGACTGAGATGCTGTACGATGCTAGATTAATATCGGAGAGCCGGATCCTTTCCCGCTGATTCCAGCCCTTGAATATGGCAAATCAATTGTTTTCCGCAGTGTTTCAACGGGATCACCGTGTGCCAGGCGCGTCCAGGCTGGAGGGTATCATCAGTTCCACAGACTATCCAGGGACCAGAGTCGAGCTAAAATCGCGGCCAGTCCAGTCTGGACCAATGGCCGCGGAGTCGGGTCGGCAAAGTCGGAACGGCAACATCCGCTGCGGCGATGTCCGAATCTCCGACTTCGGCTTCTCGGCTTCACCATCGCCTTGAGCCGACATCCAAAGTTTGCTTTCTCATAATCTGTGGCTTTTAAGCTCACTTGTCTCCTTGACCGGGAGTGAGATGTCTTCCGCCTTTTTCCAGAAATCTCTAGGCTCGCCGGGTTGCATCCCCTTACAGTGAATCGTTTATAGTACAACTCGGGCTGGGAGTACTGGGAATGAGACCGAAGACGGGATGGCTAGGATGTTGACTAGCACTGTCTGCATGTAAGATTCAGTATAATAATCACAGCACAAACATCGTATAATCCGTTGGCAAAATGTTTCTTTGCGCGGATTTCGAGTGACGAAATCAAAAAGGAAAATAGTGGAGTTCCGTCTTTGGGTTATATACACAATAATAGTCTCCCGTAGTCATAATACACAGTCCTATTGCAACTGACGACAGTTTCTTTTTTGTCGATAAGCTCGGGGAACTCGGACCGATTTTCGTGGCTGTGCAATCACGTATCTTCTGCTGCCACCACCTCTACTATCGCGCGAACTTTGCAAGTGAGCCGGTCGTGTCTCACTCATGCAGTAATGCCTAACGATATTCTTCATTCTTTCCCCTAGGAACTTTCACCATGAGTGCTTCCCGGTGCTCTGAATGCGGAGCCATCACCGCCAGTGAAGAACTCGATTTGAATGCTGCGCCCGGCAGTCGGCGCCACACACTCTTGACTTCCAATGAGGCGCCTTTGGACTCTGACTCCACCATCGTCCAATCGGTGATATCGAAAGCCCGGGAACGCTTAGCTATGGTGGAGCACGAGCTTTCGCGACTTCGCGAACGCATGCGAGCCTTGGAAGAAGAGCGTGCCTCACTATCGGGCCATTTTGCCATCCTTTCTCCACTCAGGCGGATGCCTCCCGAGGTGCTCGGCGAAATATTTTTGTGGACCTTGCCCTCGGTCGGTGATTTGAGGCTGGGGGCCTTTAGCGTTGCGGATAGCCCATGGGTGTTGACTCATGTCAGCAGCCGTTGGCGAGCAGTTGCCCTCTCGACTTCTTCGTTATGGGCGCTGCTTGTCGTCGATTTCCCCAGACAACCTCGACATTCCTTGCCCATGGTGGAAGCCCAAATCGAGCGCGCCCAGTCGCTCAAGATTCATTTTTATGGTTGCGATGAATCGGATTCTCAGCCACAAATTGAAATCTTTCAATGTCTAATCCAGCATTCTTCCCGGTGGCGAGAGTTGGCCGTCGGCTTAACTTCAGATCTCATCCCTGTCTTGGCCGACCTTCGAGGACGCCTCCCATCATTGCGTCGTCTGTGGATGGAGTGGCAGAGCGTTGAAAGCCAGGAAGAAGTGGAGGGTATCCACTGCTTCGAGTCGGCTCCTTCCCTGGTCGACGCCGGCATCTTCAACGAACATCGCTATGTGCGAACCTCCCTTCCTTCACACCCACTGACCCAGTACAATATCGATGGACCCTGGGAGATGCACCAGGGTATTCTGACGGCGGCCCCAAACCTGGTCCAGGCTCGTATCCATGTCAGCTTTGATGACGAGGAAGGCTGGCCGGAGCCCGACGCAATCGTTGACCTTTTGTGTCTCCGACGTCTCTTAGTATCACACGCGGACATTCTGAAGTACCTCAGGGCACCTGGTTTACAGGAAATAGGGTTTTCAGTTAATGAAGAGCAGGAGGATTATCTCCCCCATCTCAAGCCTTTTATGGCACGCTCTCGCTGTACTTTGCGAAAACTTACCTTCAATGGGACACCTATCCCTTCTGCGGTCACCGACATCCTCGTGGAATATCCCTCCGTTATCGAACTCGTGGTCATCATCCTCTCATCCCAGAGCGCCAACAATTTAATTTCCCATCTGACTGTCACCAACTCCACTGCTATGGCGGCGATATCTCAACGACTATCTCAAATCTCTTTCTGGTGTTCCGACGACAGCGGAATCGATTATATTCTCCACCTCCATATGCTGCAATCGTGGTGGAAAGCAGAACACCGCAATTTCAAGGGCGCCGCGTTACTCACATCTTTGGGGAAGGGTCCAGATGCTGCGACGCTTCACGGTCTAAATGCGCTCCGTCAAGACGGAATGGAGCTTTTAGTACTTCAGGGAAGGGAAGCGTCAGAGCGCATGGATGGTTGGGCCTACTTCCCAACGTGGGCTTGAATGTCGGATACCGTTATCCAAAACTATTCTCCGGTGCAGCAGCTTTACCTTGAATACATGTTTGTGACTTATGCGGAGTCGCTGACCAAGTTGATGGTCTCGCGAGTTATAGCGATAAATTTCGGTGGGTAGGATTCGAATTCTTTCTTTCTATATGCGACTTGGGGATTCCTCCTGAGAGTTTGTTCGACTTCAAATTATTAGGGCTTGACCACGGATCTGACTTGGTCGGGCCCTGACCCCGTCGACGGGTATCAAGACATGTACCTAGTACCCAACAGTCGCAGCAACAGTCTCGTCGTCGTCTGTTTCGTGATCGTCTTTAATGTCACCAATTTTAACGAATTCTAGCAGTCCTTGAATAAACAAATGAGTTCTTGTTTACATAAACCGGTAAAATGGCACCAATGTCGTTTCGTGTAAAGGCGTCGACACACAAGAACACAGTCTCGAGATGTACTAGCGCCCAAGTGTATTTAAGCTCTCCAGTCGCTGTGACTTTCATATCGACCCGGGTGACGAGATGACCGAGCTATAGAATTATATTGGTCACCATTCAAGTACGACAAACGTCTTCTCATTGAATCCCACATTCTCACACCGAACTCCCACCAGTATATATCGGCCTCCGCAGCCCCAGAATCGTACTGTGGTATTTTTCTCTGCGAGTGTACTGTACTATTTCAACCGTACGTTCACGGTATGCCCCTTCCATTTAATTTTCAACATGTTCATTCCTCGGCAATCACATCAAATATTTTTCACTTTCTCATTTATTTGAGCCGCAACAAGCCGTTACTGTCAAAGGGACCAAATAGGTTCAATTCACGACCCTCCGTCACCCGTCACCTGCACCTAATGGTACAGTAGACAATACACAATACACAAGTGATTTGAAACGACTCTATTCAGAGGACTCGATTTTTGTGACCCCTCAATCAACCCTGCCAAGCGAGCCAATGACAATGGCATTGGCAATGGTCCGGACCTTCACAACCTCCCAGCGCAATGGGTACACCTGCTCCTCCTCACCCTTGGCAAGAAGCGTCGCCTTCCCGTTGGCACCAACGAACGCCTGAAAGATGGAAGGGCCGCCATCATTAGCCCAGACTTCGTCCTTCGCAATCTTCTCGAACGGCAAACCCAGAAGACCTGTTCCGTTCATGATGAGCTCCCTGAACTCTTTGGTGGACTGTGCATTATAGCGGTAACCGGTGATGGCGTGGGCCACCACTTC